AGAAATATGCGGATAACGTTTCAAATATAGAAACAAATGATGTTCAAGAAAGTTATTAACTAACTTTATTTTTTTAGTTAATCAAGTAACAGTATCAACCAGAAAGTATAATATCATTGGTGTCAACACTAGCCTATAAGGCAGTCACTGACATAAATTTCAACCTTCCATTTAGAGGCTTTTTGGTATGAATTTCGAGTGACTCTGTCCAAACAGGGCTGAAAAGCCATTTCTGCGGTGGAAATAATATATACCGTAACGTAAAATCACCAATGATAAAAATTCACTTCAAAGAGATAGTAATTATCAACCCTCCCGAAAAGACACCTACTGATCTTAATACTGAATAAAATTATCAAAGGGATATACTGCCTTTGTTAGTTGTGTCGAATATTTCTCTACATGCAAATTTAAAATTAGAAGTTATCGGCAGTGGTAGAGACTTCCGTTTACCAGAGACGGAGATGTTTGCTAACTTAGTTCTTTAAAACACTAACCCAAGAACAGACAATTGAAATTAACGTATTGACAGTGCTATATGAAAGACAGTGAAACAACTGTACGATCCGGATAATACGATAAAAGAACTACAGGACGCTGTGTTGCTTGACGATTTCATAAAGACTTAAATAGAACTGAACAAAATTACAGAAGGAAACAATAAAAGTCTATGTATATGTTTTTTAGGACTTTCTTGTAGTTCTTTGAGTGTTATCATATAATAAGATTTCGATTGATATTAAAAAATTTGCCATTCACAAGGTTTAAAACTATAGTGAAACAAAACATTTTATACTAAAGGTGTATACAGCGTCTGCGTACTTAGATGACAAAAGTCCGTGGTGGTAACCCGTTTAGCTCTTGCAGGTAGCCTCGACCTATGATGTTTGAAATAAATATTGTAAATGGTAAATGTGTACAATTAGATATTTACAAAGAGCATTAGAGTTTCTTGTTCATTCTTCTCAGGGGAATCTGCCTTACCAATGAGCAGTAGAGTTTAATCAATATGACGATTTCATGGGTAATTTGCTTGCCTATAAAATAAAGATTGAGTTTAAATTTATCAAATTATAGTTTTCTTATACGGTGTGACTTTTATTTTGTTATCCTTATTTCAGAAGAGTTAAACGCTCCAAGGCCAGGATGTTCAGTTTCAGCTATAGATATGGTGAGTGTCCCGACACACCGTACCTATGGTAACGAGTGACCATGAGTACCTGGTAACGTCGCGAGAGTTCGAGATGTGATAATTATCAAATATGAAAGAGTGTATATAGATACGTCTGCGCTCAAGGCTGTCAACTGCTGCTTGCCAGCCAACCCGTACCATGGAGCATGTAACCGCTTTGAAATATTAACTTTCGTATATTCGGGCATTGGTTTCTCAGACCGAAGATTATCGTTTGTCGGGTTTTTTCTGAAACAGAAAACATTAGAACTTTGGGCTCATTGCTAGCTGCATGGTTCGTGACTAACTTCATTTCAGTGTAAGGAATATTCGTGCACACAACACGTGTACCCGTACCTGACACCGATTGGTCCCTGAGACCGACGTGGGTCTATACCCACGTCGGTCTCAGGCACCTGTGACACCTATGTGTCACAGGTGTTTAGGCTGTTAATATTTTTAGTAATTCCTATAGTTATGTATTATTTGTAATTATCATTGAATTTTCATTATGTATTATATTTGTAAATTATTTTAAGTTATATTTTATAGTCTCGATATGTATGGGAACGCATGAGACGGTTTTTGGAAGTGGATGACTCAGATTCTGTCTATGAGGGCGAAAACAATAGTGACTTTGAGGATTATATAGAAGTAAGAAATGACACATAGCAGGAGATAGTTTTGAAAGCGAGGAGAAGTTTCTAGTCTACTACCTAGGCAAAGATAGTCAAATTAAGTGGAATAAAATGTTCATCGATGACAGTAACAAGTATTTTTGAGCAAGATATATTTGTGTATGCAACATTCTATGTTTTTAAACTTTTATGTAAATTCTTTGACATTCAGAGTTTCTTTTACTTTGAAACTTAGACTATGGAAACCAAAGGAAGTTATATTGACATATATAAATCAGACGTTATATGTATATGATGAATTTAGACGTTTAAAAAAATAAACATTTTATTGTCGTCGTAGGTAAGCCGAAAGAGATAGCACTACTACTACTATTTATGTCAAACACGGGAATCGAAAATACGTAACGTCATCTTAAATGCCAACTGTCCCCATTTTGCAATTTTTGTAGTACCCTTTGATAACCGTTTCCGGTTGTCAAGGGAAGTACATTAAATGTCAAAACCAATGTTTGAGTGAATTATTCGCATGAATTGTAATGAATATGTAAGTATGTAATGGACAAAAATATTAACAGTGAGAACAATTAAGTATTGATAAAAATGCGCCCTTGCAGCATTATGGGGTGCGGCAGTAGAAAAAGCGGAAATCAACCGAATGTTACATTACACTGGCATATGTTATTTTTCTGCCTATAAATCATACAATAGCCCAAATATCTCATGTAATTAGACTCATTTAAGTAGTTTAATCATTTTTTAGTAGTTTATTCAGTCTTGCCGAATTTTGCTTTGGTTACTTTAGATTGCCTGTATGTTAGCATATTTTGATAATTATTGATAACGATTATTTTGAGATAGTGTTGTTCTTGTAAGTAGACATATTATCGATATTTTGTTATTAAAACAATTTACTACGAGGTTTTTATTATTTCATTTTTTTTTAATTTTGCAAATAAAAAAAGAAAGAAAGAATGGTTGAAAATTATAGGATTGCCGAATATAAACATTGGATCAAATACCATCTTCATTTGTTCGCTCCATTTTGAAGAGTAAAATTTTAATAGAACTTTGAATGTAACTAGATTACATGATATGCAATTCCATCGTTACGTTTATTCGTAAATAATTTATATTTAATTTTGATTAAAATGGCTCATTTCTTGCCTAGTAATAATAACCTAGTATTAATTATACTTTGATGACAGTAAACTAAACAAATTTGCAAACATAAAAACAGTTTCAACATTCAAGCCATGCATTTGCATGTCGATAATCTATGATTATGGTACAACACTAAATCCGCCATATGTGTAGTGCAATCTTGGTTTAGGTAGGTACGCTTATTCCGTAGATAGGGCAGCTCCTTTCCTTTGTTTTTTTCCATCCTCTAAGTTTTGAAATTATAAAAATTATTTTCTTGTCAAAGTTTTAGTGGCTCTTACGAACTTTCAATGGCTGTAATATAAGACTGCTTATATCTAATTTAAAAAAAAGTATAAAACTTTGCTTGATATATTTTAATACATTTCCTTTTAATATTAAAATTAATTTTACGATGATATTTTATTAAACAACATACTAAAATGGCCCTCGAACTTTCGATCCCACAGACCGCGCGACACACTGATTCATAAAATAATAACTTGAAATTAAATTCGATGTATCTACGTTCATAAAATATCTATAATCATACGGTTTATCTTTTTAGTACAAACCAATACAATTTGACCACCTGGTATTCGGCCTCTTGACAAGATAACAAACAGGCACCTCAGTAATAAATCTAAGTAGGTAATATTATAAATGCGAAATTTTAGGTTGAAAAACTAACTATTCTATATATATTGTATCGGGTCAATATAATAATTGATGTATTGATTGATTGATATAGTAGACTAAATTCATAAATCTCGTAACCTCCATTCTTTTTTTATTAATATATATATAATAACAACGCACACACTCAACATAGCCCCGCACTAGGGAATCCCTGTATCGTGGGTGCTATGGACACACACATAGACAACCACAAATTACACCTAAACTCTCGAGAGAAATAAATGTAGGCCATACAAATATTTCTCCCGGCCCGGGAATCGAACCTGGGACCTTTGCGTGGCAGTCCGGCACGGTACCCGCTCGGCCACGGAGGCAGTAGATTTAATTTCATTAAGTGAACGCCTGAATAGGCACAAAGAAGAGAATCACTAGAAGTAATTATATGACGGTCTATGATTATGCCCTTATTTTATGACTATAAAAGAGTATACAAATTATGTTTTAAGCTTTGATTGCCTGGTACTGTGCTAAAGGCAAAGTAAAAAAGGGATGTCGTCCAAGACCCGTGTTCCCGTTTTCCATCCGACAAAACAATTACTGTCAAATAAATAGCAGCAGTAGAGCTCCTCGTAAAAGAGTTCGCCCAGGGCAGTACTGCCGCCTTACCTATTTCTGCCGCCAAGCACTAATATTAGCGTTACTGTAAGAATGTAAAAAAGTTATTAGTAATTGGCTGACCACTCTCGACTACGAGACGATTGAAAACATATTAATTTACTGAAATAGGTAGCATTCACACACAAACGCGCACGCGCGCGGTCTCAACCCCCACACATAATCTGGTTAAGCACTACTTATTTTACGGTAATTGTCGGATGTCCGATGTAGAACGGGAGTGGACTCCCAGAAACGGGGTGACGTGGTTATCAAATTTAGCCGACGTATGTTGTATTATTGTCAGCTATTTACACAGAGGTGTGTTATGAGTAGGTTTTATAATAGTAATAAAAACAAAAGCCTACCTACTAAGCAAGTAATTTAATACTTCAAAATTTAAAAAATTCTTAATTTTGATTAGAATTGAGAAAAAATTTAGTATTTAAAGAAAGCATCGTTGAATTTACTAGCAGGATACTAGCAATAGCATTGTGTAGCCTAAATTACTAGCCGAGGTTACAGCTATAAAATGGAATCCTAGAAGCGCTCCGCGGCTTAAAGTGAGAATAGAAAGTTTTACAGCAGGCATGAGTACATAGTGTATCACGGCTCTATTTCCTCTTTCGTAATTTGATTTAAAAAAAAATGATTTTAGCAATTTCAATTTAGTTTCGCAAGCAACAAGATTGCACAACAAATATATCGACACAATATGGGATCAAATAAAACGAATCATAAAAGGAATTAAGTTTATCGAGTTAACATTTACTTTCACATTATTTTACATTTTCATAAACGTAACCAATACTTTTTTTAAAGCTTTTCATTCTTTGGAGACGGTTATAAACTCATCTTTGGTCTAAAAATGTTCATAATTGAGTGCAGCATCTTCTATCTGGCCGTTGGGGTGATGATGGACAGAGTAGCGTGCCTTGTGGAACTCCCTCAGGTGGTCGACAACGACATAAAGAAGGCGGAACGCGTCATTCGAACGACGGCCAACACACTGTTCTCAACCCTGAAGCTCCAGAGCAAGAAAGGGAGACCCAGGCACCAATACTTCAGACTAGTCCATCACTACCTCACCTCGCTAACTTTGGAAGACTACACGGCATTAAAAGAAATAGCAAAACTAACAAGAGTCGATAAGAAAGCTATCAATAATCGAACTCAACATTTTATTACTGCTTTAACTGAAATTTTAGACGATGAGAGCAATCTGGGCACAGAAAATGTTTCAAAACTGGATGGTTTCGATGAAGCAGATAGATTTATCGAGGAATATATGAAAGAGTTGGAACATAAAGTCTATAATTCCAATAATAGTTTCGATAGTGAAATTGAAATTGTTAAGCTTTTGATGCTTCAGGAATCAATTAGCAATGCTACAAATAAAATTCAAAAGGAATTAGATGTTTGGAGTGAGTAGATTTCAACATTCCATCCATTATTTTTAGAATACACAAATGTAACTTTAAGTTTGTTCAATAAATTTTTCACATTGTGTAATGACGTTTTCTTTCTGGTTTCCTTTAGGTGCAATATCATGAAAGAGAAACTTAAAGTTTCATCACAGAGACGGATTTAATTATTTCTTTTGTCACATCATATTTGAACAGAGATATTGTGTGACATCATATTTTTCGTCAATTATTTTATTTATTTCAATATATTCTCTAGAACCCAATCTCCTGGAGTCATCGAATAGTGGACGGCGAATATTCAGAGGGAGAAGTACAAATATCAAGGACTATCCTTTCATGGCGACTGTACAAATATTCGGCAGGTTTACGTGTGGAGGGTCCATCATCAAGTCAGACTTAATTGTGACAGCAGCTTCATGTTTACAACTGTAAGATCATTAATGACATCCAAACATAGCTTTGACCGTAAACATAAACGACAGTTTCATCATATAAATTTTGGAAGATTATATACTATATTTAGTCAACTGATAATCATACTTTAATTAGATAACTTTTTTTTATTAAAGCCATCGTTAAGGAAGACAAAAAGGGTCGATTATGTACCCACATTGATTGTCAAATTGGACGCGGATATCATTGCATTAGTTCCAACGAATATTAAATTCTTCTTTTTATAATAATTTTTTAGTTTAGTCTTATGGGCTATGGCCTTTTAATCTAATCTAATACTCTGAATTTTATTCATTTTATTCAGGGCTCACAACAATCGACTGTATCGTGAAAACCCTGCATTTCTTAGTGTGCGGGTTGGGAGTACATTCTACGAAGCTACTGGCGAGAGGATTGACGTCATAGAAGTTTATTTCCATCCTAGCTACAATCCAAAGAAATTGAACAACAATATAGCTATTATGCGTTTGCAAAGGCATATTAATTTCAAGTCTGGCCATGTTAAAAAGATTGAGATTGATCGGGATCCAGTTCCTTTGCCTAGCGTGACGGACAGAGTTCTTGTTTTGGGATGGGGTGCTCGAACGGTAAGTTTAAGTGTTTGCAACACATTTGCTAGAAGTCGTCACCAAATTCTAATCGCCCAATTAGATGTTACTATTTAGTAGTCAGATTGTAAAATTTACTTCAGGTATGTTTTAGACTAAGAATAGCTAATGACACTCGACAGTAGCCCTTGTCGTCTTTGAGCCGATTAATACAAAAATATAAAAGGCATTAACAAAATGTATAAACAAAGTATCGACGTCTTCTTATCGTATCGATGACATACATTATACTATAGAGGCCCAGAACTCGGCCACACCGACCGCGTCACTAGTAGCCGCCACCAAATCCGTAAGCGTGCAAGTGTTAGTGTGTCGAGGTTAGAACCATCCGAAAATCCCACCTGAACAAATTGTACTTGCTTCGACCAATCTGAGTCCGAAGCCTATTTAAAGATCTTCAGATCAGCCATGGCAATTCGTGAACAGGAGGAAGACTCTCAGAATGCGGGACAAACGTAGAAGGTACTCTTTCGCGCCAAAAGTTGCACCTCGCCTGAGCCGGCTCAATGTTCAGAGGATGCTGTTGCAAAGTAGAGACTGAAGGGTTAGCTACTTTTGGGTCGGGAAACGATTGTGTTGTATTTTGACCTAAATGTTTGTGAGAAATTAAAATATTGTAACATGAAGGTTGAAATCTGTTTTATCAGCATGTCTAGCTAGCTATTTCCAAACAACTTGCTGCCGGATGAAAATCATGTCGTCAAGAGAAGTCAATGACGTCTAAGCAAAGACGTCGTTGACTTCTTTTGTGAAAAAATATTTTAAATAAACGGGAGGACAAAATTAGCGTTAAGTAATTTGCAGTTTGAAGTGGCAATTGTTAAATAACATAGCTCGTTGAATTGTCAACATTATGTGTAAGGTATAACGCAATAATTCAATTAAATTATTTTACCTCAGGAAAGCAATAGAATTGCCAATGCTGCGGAAGATAAATTGGCATTCGCATGGCTTGACTTTTATCCATGGGAGGAGTGTAGGGAAATATATTCCAAGTAAGTTTATTGTTTAGTAAGAGTTACAATACTTAGTAAATTATTATGATACTAATAAATAAAATTTTCAAATTAATTTCAGGGATTACGTGACGCGACAAAACTTTTGCGCAGGATTCTTTTCAAAGGGTGGCGGGGCTTGTAATGTAAGAATGCCACAAAATATTTCTTTTTATCCAAACTATCCATCCATATTACTTCAAAGTGCCTGTAAGTGAACAACCTTGCAGGACTGTGTTACTAACATCATAAATAACATTTTTTCATGATTTTTGACAATACATAATAAATTTATCAAAAATAAAATTTAAAGTATTTGTTTTATGTACTATCGGATACTTTTTAGACCTGTAGGTACTTTTAGTAACGCCTCTCGCGTGTTGTCATCCATAAAAATAATTTTGGTGGTGGGTGATTTCTTTTGCTACCGCACAGAGTTATCTCCATTTAGAGTGATCTATTTAATTTACATTTTTTATGTTTGTACGAATGTGAAATCTGATAAATTGTTAAAAGTCAAATCAACAAAAGTTTATTCCATGAACATTCCATTTTGTTTAAGATGATAGTAATATTATCTTGCGAGGTTGTTGGTATCATACAAACAAGCCTGTATTTAATGCATATTAGAAGTATTGTAATATGTATTATATTTTATATATATTATTCTACCAGTGACTATCAAAACCTCTTATACTACGGACTATACATTTGATATCACAGAAAAGAGACTTATTCAAAAGTATTCGACGCATTCGACTGAAAAGTCTGTTACATTTTAAGGGTGTTCATAGTACAAGTTGTTTATTTTCATAAGACTAAGTATACTGTTTATGTTTCATCAATTAACGATAGGCTAGGAGCTATATCAGCGAATGTTAATATTTCAGCGTGATGTTGGCGGTCCAGGCATAGTCGAGGGTGTCCTGGTGGGGATCATCAGTTTCGGATCCGCAACCTGCGGGAGCCCAGATTCACCAACCGTCTTTACCAAAGTGGGTTACTATTCCGAATGGATAGATGAAATCATGGAACAGGTATGAATTTTCACAAATTAATGAAGCATTACACTTATCGTACCTGTTCGTACGTACAAAAGAAGGAGGTTTTTGCCAATATACATAAATAAACAACAAATATTAGATAACATCACATACGTTGCTTTGCTCCCAAAGTAACAAAAGCGTTTATTTATATAAATCGAAAACAACGAACGACGGTATCAGAAACACCTAGACTCGATACAATACATGTAGATAGTTTTCTATATTGACCCGGCCAGGGATCGAACCCAGGACCTCAGAGCAGAGATAATAACGTACGCACTCATAGCCCCGAAGTAAGGAAGCACTAACGCGGGTGCCTTGAACACATGCGTAGATAACCACAAATAACATCTATCCAGAAATAAACGTAGGCCATACATTTATTAAGAGATGGCGACAACAGAAAAATCGGTGTGCAAGCCATTCGACTAGGGGGACGGACGTCGTCAAGTTTATATACGTATTTATTAAAAGGCGTTGCTACCTGTCTTCGAGATTTGTACAATTTATTGCTCTCAGTTACCAATTTTTTATTAAATTACTACTTTTATAAAATGTACAATCAAAACAAACTTTGTGAATGGCTTACATTAATTAATTTTCGTTAAAATTAGACTATTCTGGAGAAGGACAATAAATGATCGTACAACCTGTGATTCTAGTGATGAACTATAGATGTATAGATAGAGATGAAACCATTAACATTGTAAGTCCGCTTCGCATAGCAATGATATACTTTTTTCGCAGGAGGCACCGCAACGGGGCGCATCAACTACCACATTACCTCGTAAGACTATATGGAGGATACCCACACATGACCTTGGTCTAAAAGGGTCAAATAAAGGCAATTCATTTTTGGTCGCTCCTGTCATGCCAAGCAGCAGTCCGCAACCAACAGTGATTATAAACGAAGGGCAAAAGAAAAAAATCCTTAAGGCAAGGTACGAAAATAAGATGGTAGACAAGGAAAGACGGCCCTTGCAATCATCAGACGAAGTACCTGCATCAGGAAAAGTCCAATACGAAACAAAAATGGGTTTTACGTTAACGACCTATGTCACTCCGTACGAAAACTTAGGAAACCATTTACCTACTAAAACGTCTGAAAAATTATTTACTCCTGAAATTTCACATTCTGATGAATATTCAAGTGAGGAAGAGATTTCACAGAATAATAGAGACACTATCGTCATCAGCAGCGATACAGGGGAAGGTAGTATATCGAATCAGGTATCTTCGTTATTGGAGACAATAGAAACGTCTGAAGATACCCAAATGACAATCTTCGAAGATAAACTTTCACAAGACCAGAAACTTTTACAAGACCAGAAACAATCACAAGCCCAGAAAGTTTCACAAGATCAAAAACCTTTGCGCGAAGATAAATCACTAGTCTTGCCTCTAAAAGAAACATTACAGTTTAATTCCCGGCAAGACCCATTATCTCAAGAAACATCGCAAGCTATATCGCACACGATGTCGCAAGAGATATCACAAGAAATATTATCAGGAGAGACACCACTGACAGTGACTGTGAAGTCACCGCCTGAGATGTTACCTTCAATGAAATCGCCGTCAGAGCTGTCATCACGCGAAAATCTACCGAAAATCAAACATACGAACGAGGAAGATTCGGAAGAGAAATATTTTTCGAACGAAAACTCTTTAGATGTTAGAGGTGATATATCTAAGTCTGGATCAGAATCAGAGTTATCGGTTATTCCTTTAGAAATTGAATTAGCGGGTGAAACTGAAAAGTCTACAGAAAAAATGCCAAGATTCCCTCATAGTACTCATGATGCCGTAATGCCGGAAGAAATGCTTGGTACGTTAATGGACAAATCTGCTTATCAAACTAAAGAACCGTTTTCAGACAGTAGACTAGTTGATCCACAACTCGCTTTGGCGCCTTCGCTGGCTAAAAAAAAAAGGAAAGGGAATCGGCCTGACATGAAAAAAGCAACAATTACACTTCTTTATTTTTCAGATAATGAGAAAGATAATAATATCCACGTTTTACCGGATAATACAAAACCTTCACTGAAGGCTGAAAGCGACGAAACCTCCGAAGAAGACATAAGCTTTAGAGCGAAAAAGAAGAAAAAACCGTCAATTAGGTCAACAAATGTTGAAAAAGATTCTAACAAACTTGCTGTAAATGATGAGTTTAGCAGTGATATACTTTTCAATATCTTGAAACAAGCTGTCAAAAACGGCATGTTCACGGAGCAACAAAAAATGATAAAGAAAATAAGAAAGAAATAATGAAGAAAGAATTATTAAATAACGTTAAAATAAAATATTTGTCTTTTATGGAAATTAGTCGGATTTATAATTGGAATAACTGTCTGGTAGCTACTAATGTTAACAATAATGTTGCCATGTTTATTATATATTGATGTGTTTTATCAGTTCTCAATGAATTCACTGAAACAGTCATAAAGAAACGTTAAAGATTTTGTATTTTTAATTTGCTAAGCAATAATTTCATTTACATCTGGTCTCTATACTTCTACAATTTTTCTGTTTTCAAATTCTTGATTGTTACATACCAATTAAATCTCGCCGTAAAACGTTTCCTTGATTAGAATTACAATATCAAACTTCTTGAAACAATAATGGGGCACGATCAGTGGAATCGAGAATCGATGGTAAAATATATCAATTGAACTTTATCAAGACACTATAGATATTTTCTATGATACTTTCAACCGATTCAAGCAAAAATTACTCAAACATTTCATTTCAGTGATAACGTAAACATAGTGTTGTAAAGTTTCATTGCATTTT